AAATGGAGAGTTAGAAATAACAGGGAGAAGTGAGGTTGGAGAAGTGAGCAAGGCCATAAAGAGGGTCTTGTGAGCACATTAAGCTGGGGAAATGGGAAACATCCTGGGTAATATGATCAGATTGGTCTTTGTAAAAAGTCAGTATAGCTACAATGTTTAGAATAGATCGGAGGGACACAAAAGGGAGGCAGGAAGAGGCTCTTGCCGTAATCCAGGCATAAGAAAATGCTGACAGAACTTGAGATGTGCCAGTAAGGATGGAGAGTTACAAAGAACTCGAGTTGTTTAGGAGCTAGAAAATACAGGATGTGATGGATGACTAGATGTGAAAGGGAGACGATGTAAAGGGTGACTATAGAGCTGTTTAACTTTTCCAGGCTTGTCTACCCACCCTCAGTAACAACTCCAGTTACTTTGTGCCAAAAAGAAAGTCCTAAAATACAATTCTGATAATGCCACTTCCCTGCTTAAAGCTCTTAAGTAGCTCCCATCATGCCTGATACTGAGATCTTCCTGTGACTTCCCATCTTGCCCAGAGTGAAAGCCAACCCTTACAATGGCCTCCAAAGCTCTATATAATCAGGCCCCCAGATACCTTTCAGACTTCATCTCCTTCAACTCCCCTGCTTGTGTACTTTGCTTCAGCCACGCTGGCTTCCAGTGTGCGACTTGGGCCAGATATGTAAATGAAAAAACATTACAGGTTGGGAAAATAAGAAGAAACCAGCCAAAGGAAAATGAGAAATAACCAGAGTGATAAAAAGGAAAACCAGTAAAGAGTAATATCCCAGAAGGAAAATGAAGAAATTTTCAAGCAGGAGAAGGTGATCAACCTTGTCAAATGTTACTTACCCAAGCTGAATAGGAACAAAGAAATGATCAAAGGATTTAGCATCATGAAGGTTATTGGTGGCCTTGAGATCACCAGTTTTTATGGCATAGTGAGCTAACTGTAGTAAGTTTAGGAGACAATGGGAGGAGAGAAATTGAAGGAAATGAAGGTGGACAATCTTTTGAGAAGTCTTTCTGAAAAAGGTAGCTGGAAAGGGAAGGAAGTAGTCAAGAGATTTATGGTAAGATCAGCGAAATAACAGCATGTCTATATTCTGTTGGGAATGATCCAATGAAAAAGGAAACATTGATGAGAGAGGGGAGAGTGGGGACAATCACTGGAGTGATTTTTTTTTTTTTTTTAAGTAGGTGAGAAGGAATAGTATCAAGTCACAGATAGAGGAATTGGCTTTATATAGTAGGAGAAAGAGGAATTGGCTTTATATAGTAGGAGAAATTATCTGTAGTAATTGTAGGAAAGGCAAGGTTTAAGCGCTCAGATGTGGGTAGAAAACAGATGTGGCAGTGGAAACATGTGAAGATCTAACCTCAAGACAGCATGAACTTGAAGTGAAACAGGGTCTCGTTGAGGCCAACCAATATTGGTTGTATACATTTGGTACAGAAAAAGCAGAGCATTCCATTTACTAGGTTTTTGCCTGGCAAGTATGATGAAGGGAGGGAGGAGAAAGTTGAGTGATTACGATTAATCATAGGATCTAAACTGGGTGAAAAAGGAAGTGAGGACACAGGAGGTTAAGGTACAGTGAAAAAGTTGTCTCTCGATGGCTCAAAGAACTGTTAAAGTCAAGGTAAGAAAAAGAATGAGCTTGAAAGATAGAAAGTAGCAGCCAGTGGGATGCTTCAAATTAAGATTATGGAGAGAGTAAAGATATTTGGCAATGACAAATTCTAGGGAATGACAATGGAAGGGTGACTGTGGCTGAAGTAAGAAAATGAACGACAAGATCTCTAAAGGAGAGGAGTTCGAGGAACTGAGAGACCAAGGAACCAGAAAAATCATCTTTGTAGATATTTAAATCCCATGAATTATAATAGTAGTAGTGTTGTAAACAGTGGCAGTGCGATAAAAACTGAGAACTTCAAGGAATGAGTAGTAGTGACCTAAGGGTCTGTAGATGGATGTTACAAGGTATCATTCTATATATGATAGCATGAACTCAGAGCTGTGGGGCATTTTTAGGGGAAGGAAAAGAAAGGGCAATGGCCTGGAAGCAGTGAGGAGGAAGGAAAATACCTCCTAGCCTAATGATTCAAGGATGTGAGCAAGAAAACAGCCACAGGCTGCACAGGAAGCAGTATCCTCAAGAAACAGGCAAGTTAGAGCAGGAAGAGAGGAATGGTCAAAGAAAAGCTTGAGAAAATGGGGATTTTGCTAATGACTGAGTTCCAGAGGGCACTGCAGAAGGGTTTTTTGTGTTTGGAAGGGACAAAAAAAGAGGCTATGTAGAAATCAATATGAAGTTGGAAGTCTGAGGGATGACTTGGGAGTGCAGGACTAATTGTGATGGTTTCAAAGTACAGAATGGTAATGGGGGAGGAAAAGGTGAGGACTCACCAGAAGCAGGCAGAGCTCTGGGAAGAATTCAGTAGTGATCTTCACTCCTACTAAAGGTGGGGTGGAAGCCAAGGGAGTTATGGTCTTATGGGGGAAAGTAGATCCCTGGGGCTCAAACATTAGTGCCTTCACACATGTTGATACTCTTTGTGGAATGCTCCTCCCCAATTTTCTTCATCTTGCTAATGTTTGTGTCTTCAAAACTAAGCTTATGCATCAACTCCTTTAGGAAGCCACCCTTAATTTCACCAGCCTGGGTTAGGTGCTCCTCTTCGGGGCATATTTTAGCCTAGCCTTTGTCACACTATTATTTTCTTTATATTTTTCTGTCTCTCTTCCTGGACAACTTAATGTCTGTTTGTTAACTTGTTTATTATCTGTTTACCTCCATGAAGGCAGGAATTTTTGTGTGTTCTGTTCACTGCTGTTTTCCCAACTCATATAATAGTGCCTGATGGCACAGTGGTTAAAGCAATTGACTGCTAACTGAAAGGCCGGTAGTTTGATACCACCAGCAACTCCGCAGAAGAAAAGATGTGGCAGTCTGCTTCCATACAGATTTACAGCCTTGGAAACCCTATGGGGGCTCTATGAGTCGGAATCAACTTGATGGCAGTGGGTTGGGTTTGGTTTTGGTGGCACACAGTAGGGAACATCTTTTCAGAGAATGGATGGATGGATGGATGACTCTTCAGTACCTGGTATCATAGCTGGATCATAGTAGGCCCTCAAAACTGTGTATTAAAATTATTAATGAGTTTTCACTGAAAAGCAGGGCAGCCAGTGCTAATTGAAGAATCACAAGAAATGAAGATAATCCTCCAAGGAATTTACAGTCTAATGGAAAAATTGTGGCCCATACAGACCTTATCAAGGTGAAAAGATAAAACAATACAATTACCTAGAACTGTCACACTATTTATCTTATTTATAGTTGTAGTCCCAGTACTCCAGAACACTTAATTGTGCTCATGAAGAACTTGTACACAGACTAAGAGGCAGTCATTCAAACAGAACAAAGGGATACTGTGTGGCTTGAAACCAGGAAAGGTGTGCATCAGGGTTGTATCCTTTCACCATACCTATTCAATCTGTATGCTTAGCAAATAATCTGAGAAGCTGGACTATATGCAGAACTCACAATCAGGATTGGAGGAAGACTCATTAACAACCTGCAATATACAGATGACACAACCTTGCTTGCTGAAAGCAAAAAGGACTTGAAGCACTTACTGATGAAGATGAAAGACTACACAGCCTTCAGTATGGATTACACCTCAACATAAAGAAAAAAAAAATCCTCACAACTGGACCAATAAGCAACATCATGATAAACGGAGAAAAGATTGAAGTTGTCAAGGATTTCGTTTTACTTGGAACCACAATCAATGCCCATGGAAGCAGCTGTCAAGAAATCAAACGACACAATGTAATGGCAAATGTGCTGAAAAGACCTCATTAAAGTGTTTAAAAAAAAAAAAAAAAGATGTCACTTTGAGGACTAAGGTGCACCTGACCCAAGCCATGGTATTTTCAATTACCTCACATGCATGCGAAAGCTGGACGATAAGGAAGACCAAAGAAGAATTGATGCCTTTGAATTACGGTGTTGGTGAAGAATGTTGAATATACCATAATCTGCCAGAAGAACGAACAAGTCTGCTTTGGATTCTTCAGCCAGAATGCTCCTTAGAAGCGAGGATGGCAAGACTCTGTCTCATGTACTTTGAACATGTTGTTAGGAGCGACCAGTCCCTGGAGGACATCATGCTTGTTAAAGTAGAGGGTCAGCGAAACAGACGAAGACCCTCAACAAGACAGACTGACACACTGGCTACAACGATGGGCTCACAACTATACCAATCACCGTGAGGATGGCGCAGGACTGGGCAGTGTTTGGGCGGTGTTTCCTTGTGTTGTGTATGGGGTCACTATGAGTCGGAACCAACTCAACTGCATCTAACAAGTGCCAGTACAGTACCTAAAACATGCGAGGTACTCAATAGATGTTTGTTGAAAGATAACAGTTAAAAATATTCCATGATATGCCACTAGTTATGGACATGGAGGGATATGCATTTAAAAGTATTCCTCATCCTATCTATCTTCACTTCTACCTCTCATTTCTAAGCATGCAAAAGTGCGAAGATCTTTCCAGGTCACTGTTGCTGCCTTTTTGATGATCCTTCTAAGTGGAAGTCACTTCTATAGATTTGTGCCTCATCTGTGGCACCTGACACTTTATTTCACCTTATAAAGTCCTTTGGGAAGAGGTCTTACCCCTCCTTCAGAGCATAAGCCTCTCAGGTGCAGCAGGCTGAATCTGACTCAATCTTTGTATTCCCCACAGGGTGAAGCAGAGTACTTAAAAATAAAAAAATAAAAAAGTACATTTGTTTAACGAATAATAGGTAGGACTAGATAGGGCTCACCTCAAAGGATGCAATTCCTGATTTCTTCCCCCTTTTTAAGATTTTACCACCAAAACCTCAGCCTTTTTCCACCCCGCGTCCCCCAGTCTGACGTCACAGTCCAGACTTAGAACTCCCAGTCCCAGAATGCTAAGCGCAGGGGCGGGCTCGCGGGGAGTCGCCGAGTGGTTGGCGAGCGCAGGCGTTTCCTTCCGGTGGGTAGGGCCCCGGAGGCGGGAACTTGGGGAGGTGTTTGGCCGCGATTACCGGGTTGGGCGGGCCCTGTCTGGGGAGGGGTATGTGAGAGAGCCCTGGGACCCAGGCCAACTGAGGATATGGATGAGGACGGGCTTCCTCTCATGGGGTCGGGCATAGACCTGACCAAGGTTTGTAAAAGACGGAATTGACCTTCCGGAGATCGGGGAGGAAGACGAGGAAGGGACGCCCGGTTCCCACAGAGACCCTACCTCTCCAGGCCCCACCCTGGCCCGGGGCCCCTCTTCTGCTGGCTTCGGGAGGGAGAGCCCACCTTTCACCTTGAAAAGGGGTCCCTCCAGAGCTGATTAAGGGGATGTTGTGCCTCTCGCAGCCTTTGCCTCCCGGGTAATGTGTCTCTATGCCCGGAGATGACCGACTGGCGATTTGGGCCCGTTGCGACCTCATAACCCTGCTCGTTGATTCGGCCAAGTATTTTTGTGTGTTTGTATGTGTTGCTTTTACCTGTAAGATTTGTGGATTCGGCGTCATTTCTCAAACTTTTATGTAGCCTGTGTCGTCTTCGGACACCCCACCTCCCAATTTAGGGAAATAAGTTAATGACAATTCTCAAAACTTCAGGAAACTCATATCACACAGTAAGACTCCCTGCTGCTACTATGCCCATATATCAAAGGAATTGCACGGTGTATGATCCTCCTGTACCAATCATGTTTGTTTTTACATAACACAGGTGCCAGCTATTCAGCAGAAAAGAACGGTGGCATTTCTAAACCAGTTTGTGGTGCACACAGTACAGTTCCTCAACCACTTTTCTACAATTTGTGAGGAGGTAGGTCCTGAGATGTTGGTTTATAGAGTAGCCTAGAAATCACTTTGCTTTTATTAGGATGGGAAATAGAGTTAAAGAAGAATCACCCTCTTTGTTCAGGTTGGCCTCTTGTGACCCGGTTGTTTGTTAAGCTAAAGTCAATCCTGCACTCCACCTCTGCTAAATTAGTGTTTTAAAGGCCTTTGTTAAAATAGTTCAGTAAGACTTGCTGTGATTAAAGAGAATAAAAGGAATTCCACGATTTCACAGTTGAGAACACTTGTGATTTTCACATTTGCTACATGTTCTCTTACCCCAAAGATTTACATTTTTAAATATATATTGTTTCAGTTTATATTAAAATTGTTTTACATTCATTGATCCAAAATGAAGCCCTCGTGGTGCGGTGGTTAAGAGCTCAGCTGCTAACCAAAAGGTTAGCTGTTCGAATCCACCAGGTGCTTCTTGGAAACCGTATGGGGCAGTTCTCCTCTGTCCTTTAAGGTTGCCATGAGTCTAAATCAACTGGACAGCAACAGGTTTGGTTTGGCTTGATCCGAAAGATACCTTGGAGAGGTAGCCTAGAAACCTAACTTTGGCATCAAATGTCATTATGGAAATAAGAATATTTTCAGCAAACAACTCATAAGTGAGGATTAAGTACGAGATTAAGGAGTAGGTACCAAATCCAGGGATTGTTGTCTTTAAAAAAAAGATGGGGAGGGCAAATTGGAAACATGGCTTGACATTGAGTTTAAGAAAGAATAAAAGAGAAAGAGGGGTAAATCCTGGGGATGAGATGATTCACTGGGGCTTAGATAATTAGGTGAGTTGATTGAATAACAATTGGGAGTTCATTCTGTCTCATATAAGGTATATAGCCTTAGCAAGTAGAGTGTTTGTTAGATGTGTTAATAGAATTTTCATGGAGATAGGGAAACTATTTTCATTGGGTAAGATTCCCACTATTGTTTTTGCTTATTATCAAAATCTCTTTACCTTCTCATTAAGACAAAAGAAAATAAAATATGGTATGATACGATAATTGATAGAGTAAGGGGATCAATTCAATGTGTCAAATCTAACAGCAGACCTAGAGACTGGGTGCTTGCTTCCATGTTCTTTATCTTGTACTGTGCCTTTCTAAATGGGAGATAGAATTGACTGAATAAAAAAGCAGTAAGCCAAGGATTTAGCCCTTCACTTTTTACACCATAGTAAGGTGAAGTGTCTGGAGGGAGTATCTCAGGATTGTTAACAGAGAGGAGCAGATACTCCATCCCTATATGCTTCATCACCAGATTAAAAAATAAAATAAACAACAACAAAACAAGAAGCAAACAATCCTATGAAAGCAACTTGATCGAGCTGCTCTGAGGCAGGGACAACCCCTCACCTTTGTAGAGCCTAACAGCTTTCACAGCCTGGCGAGTGATTACTGTTCGACAGCTAGAGCAAAGATAACAATAATCATCTCTTATTTACTGATCGCTTTTAAGCCTCATGCTTCACAAGTTTCCCCCGTCTGTTCCTCTCTCAGTTTCTCCCCCAACTGGTTTGGCTATGTCGCTATTTCCTAGTTGTTCTTGAACTCTGGGAAAAAGTTTGCTGACCAAAAACTCATTAAGTTTGAAGATAGTTTATTTGCCTTTTTCTCCTTTAAGGATAATAACCTAGGGTTGATTGTAAGTCATATTTTATAATTCACTTTAAAAGCTTGGATAATTGTGTCAGTTATAGATGTGTTTGCTCACTGATGAGAATAATATTTATTGTGTGATTATTCTGTACTAGTCATTGTACTAAGTGCTTTATGTGATAGTCATCACAGCCCAGCCATTTGAGAGAGGTTCACTTATCCCAATTTTGTAAATACAGAAACGGAGATGTAGAGAGGTTTAAAACATTTGCCTAGACATTTATTCATTTGTTCATTCATTCATTCATCACTAGCTGCTGTATAACTTGCCCAGAGTCACACAGCTAGAAAGTAACAGAGCTGGGATTCTATCTCTGGTCTATTAACTCGAAAAGCCAAAAACATCTTACTATGTTATATTATACCTTCTGTTCTGAAAAAGCTTGTTTGCATCATCTTTAAGTGAGAGTGCAGTGCTTTCTTTCTAGTTATTTCAAAATCTGTTTTTAAGATTAGTTTTTTTGGCTGTATCATGTCTATTTTGATATAATGTCTTTTTGATATAATAAATTCCAAAAATATATGTATTCAGACATACAGTGCCATTTTCTCCATAGCTAGAATCAATATGGTATTTTGAAATGATTTTTAATTTGTTGATAATACCTTTAAGACCTGTAGTCCTTGTTTACTTAAAACCTTAAACAGAAACCAAACAGACTGTGCTTCCCTCTTCAAAAAATAAACCTCAAATTTTATTTTTTGAACTGGGGGTGGGGGGCATGGTTGGAGGGTTTAGGGAAAAAAAAAAAACCTCTTTTTTCCCCACATGATCGGATTTGAACCAAACCCAAGCTCTAACAGCTAAACTTATACTGGAATTGAATTTGAAACAAATCGCTAGAGCTCTTTTTTCATTATTAGTGCTGTGTTTACAATCCTTTAATAAAGAGAAACATGTAGAAATGAAGTCTGTGAAGAACTCAACTTTTTACACTTTCTGCGTACTATGCTAATTTGTAACTCTTCTAATGACAGGCACTAGAGTAGAGGAAAGGTTAGAAGGCAGAGAAGGGAAAGTAGTTGAATCAGATCCAAATTATAAAATTACTTAGGGTCATCTCTTCTTCCTTCACAAATACCCTAGTAAGCATTTGTGTCCTGACCCTAGTCAGTAAAATCTTATGATGGTCCATTGGGACTGCAGATTTAAAAAATGGAGGGCAGTAAAGCTCTATAGCTATTACAGGTGAAACTGAGTTTAGTGAATTGTAAATGATGGTGAATTTTAAAGATACTCTAAACAGAACACAGTAAGACGTGCTGTTATGACTCAGACTTGTAATGTGCCTAGAATACTGGACTTTTAATCATTTTTTTAATATTCTAAAATTTTTCTTTTTTCTAAAAATCTTCAAATGCAGGGTAAAATGCTGAGAATTCTCACATGAACTAAAAATATTTATGACGGAGCCCTGGTGACACAGTGGTTAAGGCACTTGACTGCTAACTGAAAGGTCGGCGGTTCTAAACCACCAGTGGCTCCGCTGGAGAAAGATGTGGCAGCCTGCTTCCATAGAGATTTACAGCCTTGGAAATCCTATGGGGTAGCTATGAGTCGGAATTGACTCAACAGCAGTGGGTTTTGATTTGTCTTGTACATCCAGTATTTAAGCCAACCATCACACTTAACCTTCAACCAGATAATGTTTTGCTTAAAACCCTTGTTTGCTGCCACATCTTTTACAACTGCTGAGCTTAAGTGTCAGATGAAGCGTAACAAAACCATTGATTGCTTTCCTTTCTAGCTTCTAGGACATATACAACCTAGCGGGATATAGCAAGAGATCCATTATTTAAAAATACTGTTTCTCTTTTAGAGAAGTGGATACGCAAACTGGATATTTTACAACCCTGAGAAACCACTCTTTATTTTTCTTTTCATGTTCAACTAGAAGTTCCATATTTCTTACTTTTGTCTTCTTTTGCACTTTAATAAAATATTTTGCCTTAGAAATAGGTGGGTGATAAATCAAGAAGTTCCCAGTTTATCTGAAAAATTTCAGGTACCTTGTAATTTTGCCTGTTATCCCAAACCAAGGCATTTCAGATTTATTTCAAATTACTCTAGAAATGAAAGGATGGTAGTGGGAAAGACTCTTACCTTTCCGTTTCTGTTCACCAGAATTTTCAGAGGTGGAGACAGTTACTATCATTGATCATGTTACTTATACCATATCCATAGTCATTCACACTTTAGAACAGTAGTTCTGAACCAGAGGACATTTGGCAATGTCTGTAGGCATTTTTCGTTGTCACAACTGAGGGGTGCTACTGACATTTAATGGGTGGATGCCAGAAATACTGCTAAATATCCTACAGTGCACAGGACAGCACCACACAAAAAATAATAACCAGTCCAAAATGTCAGTGGAGCCAAGGTTGAGAAACTCTTCATTAGAGGGATCTAGGTGTTGCAGAAGGCATATACATCTTAGAAATGAACCTCAGTAGCCCATAAATGAAGCCAAGTTCATTTGTCAATTGACAGTGGCTCTCTGAGAAGTATATATTCATGTATGTGATACATGGGAATGGGCTCAAAACTATTTGTTATGCTTGGAAAAGCAGAGGTTCTTAATTGTGCTATGGACCCTTTGGCAATATAGTGAAGCCAGATTACTGTTTTTAACTGCATAAAATAAAATACGTAAGATTACAAAAGAACGAATGAAATATCATTATCAAAATACTCAAAACTCAAAATTATAAAATCGTAACATCCCTTTTTAAAGCATTGAATATGTGATTGAGTGCCATGTCTAATAACGACTGTAACTTTGAATTATGATAAATGTAAATATTTGAGAAATCTGCAGCAATTGTAATGTGATAAAAAAAAGTCTGTGATTTCTATGGATGACAAAGCCAAAAGTCCTAATATTACTGTAATCCTGTTGATTAAAGTTGAAGAAAATGCTAAATTTAAGTTAGAGATAAATAAAAATAGAGATGTAATTTTTTACTCATCCAGGTTCATGCACCCCAGGTTTAGAACCACTGTATAAATGATTTTCTCAAAATCATATCAACAAAAGGCTTTCCTCTTGGCTTGGGAAGATCTATATTGTGATAAATTGTGTTGTCATTTTATTATCTGTGAAGCTATTATCTGTGTTCCCTAGAGCTGGTTTTTGAGGTTCTAAAATACTAAATATGATATCTGAAAATATAAAATGTTTCCTAATGTTACATAGCACTTGTGAAAATCATTGCTTAACATACACAGCATCCCTACAGGAATTTGTAAATTAACAACTAGACTATTTTGAAAATTCTTGAAACTTAATAGATGTAAAACTCAGTTTGTCCTGAAATCTTCTTTACATTTGTCAGTCTGGTTTTAAAATAGGGTGATAGTAGCAGTATTAAGGAAAAAGCTGTTACTTAAAATCCCCCCCTTATAATTATTTTAAATTAAAAAAAAGAATTATTCTCAAACTAGTATCAAGGATATTTAGATGTTTAGAATAAATCAGCATCTTTCTTGTCTCACACAGTTAAATCATTCATGTAATCTTGTTATATTAAACAAAGTCATTTCATCTTGGGGAGGTTTTGATTATGGTAGATGAAAATAGATAAGGTGACAGCTAAGAAGTTTCCTGAGTACAATCAAACTCTTCTAGGGACAGAGTAGCAGGGGCGGGGGTTTGGGGACCATGCATTCAGGGGACATCTAGGTCAACTGGCGTAACAAAGTTTATTAAGAAAATGTTCTGGATCCTGCTTTGGTGAGTGGCATCTGGGGTCTTAAAAGCTTGCAAACGGCCATTAAGATGCGTCAATTGGTCCAAACCACCTGGAATAAAGGTGAATGAAGAACATCAAAGAGACAAGGAAAGTATTAGCCCAAGAGACAGAAAGGGCCACAAAGACCAGAGATTTCATCACCCTGAGACCAGAAGAACTAGATGGTGCCTAGCTACCACCAGTGACCGCCCTGACAGGGAACGCAACAGGGAGTCCTGGATGGAGCAGGAGAAAGATGAGGTGCAGAACTCAAATTCTAGTAAAAAGACCAGACTTAATGGTCTGACTGAGACTGAAGGAACCCCAGAAAGCATGGCCCCTGGACTCTCTGTTGACCCAGAACTAAAGCAGTTTCTGAGGCCAACTCTTCAGACAAAGATTGGACTGGACTGTGGGACAAAAAATGATACTCATGAAGAGTGTGCTTCTTAGCTCAAGTAGATACATGAGACTAAATGGGCAGCTTCTGTCTGGAGGTGAGATGAGAAGGCAGAGAGGGTTAAGAGCTGGTTGAATGGACATGGGAAATCGGGTGGAAAGGAGGAGTGTGCTGTCACAGTATAGGGAGAGCAATTAGGGTCACATAACAATGTATAAATTTTAGTATGATAGACTAACTTGAAATGTAAACTTTCACTTAAACTACAACAATAAACAAAAAGAAAATAGGTAAGGCGAGTGCCGAGGCAAAAAAGATTGTTATACCAGACTAATCTGTACCTCCCAAAATTTGAGAATCACAGCTCTATAAAGTAGAACTTATTTTCTCCAAGCCTTTTTAAATTTTCTCAGTTTCCCAAATAAACATTTTCATCCTTAGTTCCTTATTTACTAAGATCTGAATTTCAGTCCTATCCTGTGTGAATCATTCAGTGCCCATTGGAATTAAGGACAAGTTAGTTTTATGTTCTATCCCTGAAATATTTTTAATATTAATTTTTTAATAATTTCAGGTAAACAACATGTATGTCAGGAGATTGACCGTGATCACAAAAGTTTGATTCTCAGTATTTAGCACAGTAGCATCTCAGTCTTAATGAGAAGCAGATTGGTCATTTATTGGCCTCAAATAACAAAAACTGTGCCTAGGCAATACTCAGAATTTTCCATCATGTTTCAACAATGTAACATTGTTTCAAAAGTAGTATCTGATGAAGAGTATTGGCTCTGGAGTTGGAGTGTTTGAGTTCAGATTATTTAATTTATATGATGATGTAGTTTTCTTATCTTTTCTTATCTTTAAGATTAGCATACTTTATAGGTTTGGTGTGAGAATTCAAGTGATATGTTGCATATACAGTGTAGCATGTAAGGTAAATGCTCAGATGTTTCAATTATGATGATTATTGCTTGAAAGTATTTATGTAGGCATGTTAAAACAAAAATTAATTTTTTCAAAATTCAATTTTGCCTTTTTCTGTGTATTCACTTATTTTAACCAAACTAATGTATGCATTTTTAAAACAAATGATAAATTGTCATTCACTTTACAGATTAATTTACTGTAGGATTTCTTCAATTACTAAGCTGCTCTAATGAATTAAAAGACTGATTAAATTTTCAAAATTTAATTCCCATGGTTTTCAGTGATACTCCGATAATTTAGAGAGGGATTCATCTGTCTGTGTTTTATAAACTTGTTTTTATGTTTCCATAAACCTTGTGTGAACAAATCCTACATGTCAGGGTTAAAGTTAACTTGATTGTTCACTTTGAATGCCATTAAAACTAGATTCTAATGTTTTATTTCTAAATTATATCTTCATAGATATCAAGATGCTCATCTTAGAAATAAGTGTCTTGTAAAGGAGCACTGACTACTCTGGGTTTTTTCAGTTTTTCTCCCTCTTAATTTTGGCAAAATGACCGTTTCTCAGGGTGTTAAAGTTCTGTTTATGAGTTAGTCCGGATCTTGTTAATATCCCAGAAAGCGGCTAGAATGCTGTGCATCTGCCAGTTCATAAACTGGCTAACTGCTCCTTGGACTGTGTGACTGAATATAACGTTTAGTATTAGGGCTTTTAAATAAATGTTCTTATGAATACTTTATAATGTTACTTTCATTTGTGTGTGTGTGTATATCTCTATCTATAAATTATCTATAGATTATTTAATTGTTCAGAGTAACTGGAGCATGGTAAATAAACTCTTCGTTCTGGTTTATCTTGGATTTTGATGGTAGATTGCTTCTTTTTGCTTCTTCGGTACTCCTCTTAATTTTTTGTCTTTTAATCCTTTCTAACATGAACCGCTCATCTTCTAATTTCATTCTTTTTACTTTTCAAACTTAAAAAGTTTGAATTTGAGGCCGACTGTATATGCTTATGTATTTAAGTAATTTATAAAGGCAGATCCTGTCCCAGGCTGTCTTTGGCTAATTTTTATTCTTGTTTTTCTATGAAGAATTTTTTCATTCATCAACAAATAATTATTAAACTCCTATTAACTGTCAAATACTGTTCTGAGCACTGAGGTACAGCAATGAACAAAAGACTGTGTCCTCATGGAGTTTACATTCTGGTCCTAGTGATTATTTATTGTTCTGATAATGAGTTTGATAAGGCTGAAAATGTAACTTTTTCTTATCTGTCAATACAATTTAATAAGATAACTGTGAAGCATGCTAATGAAGATAATAGAACACTTGAGTTCCCATTCCTCCTCAAGTAAGTAATAGAGTAGTATGTTAGAAAATGGCAAATACATATGCCAGTTTTTATTATTTTCAAATTTGTCCTTTGTTTTTCTTGTTAACAGTTTATTTTAATCAAAGACTTTATTCTTATGTATCTAATCTTTCTTTTTCAGAAACTGGCAGACCTTTCTCTTCGTATACAACAAATTGAAACAACTCTAAATATTTTAGATGCAAAGGTTTGTATTCCTGAATAATTTATAGTATAAACTTTATTGTAGGTATCCCAACTTTCTCAGTCCTACTTAACTTTAATTGCATTTGAGAATGAATTCAGTATATCTTCTGCATTCATGAGGTGGCACAGTGTTGTTGGTTTTTCAATTCACTATAATTACAAAGGAAATGGTATTCACTATGAACCATTAACTGAGCCTGTTCAAATGTAGACGTGGGTACAGTGTTCACTGCAGCAGTAGTCACGATAGCCACAAGGTGGAACCAACCTAAATGTTTCAATAGATGAATGGATACACAAAATGTGGTACATACACACAATGGAGTATTACTCTGCCATAAAGAGAAATGAAGTCCTGATACATGCTACAACATGGATAAACCTTGAGAACATGATGCTGAATGAAATAAGTAACAAAAGGACAAATATTGTATGATCCCATGTATATGAAATATCTAGAATAGGCAAATGTATAGATACCAAAGTCTATTAGTGGTTACCAAAGGTTGAAGGGAGGGGGAAAGAAAGAGTCATTGTTTGGGGGGCACAGAGCTTCTCTTAAGGGTGATAGAAAAATTTGGAAACAGACAGTGGTGATGGCTGAACAACATGATGAAGCTAATTAATGCCACTGAATTATATGTATTAAAAAATGTTGAAATGGCGATTTTTTTGTTATATATGTGTATATATATACTCACTACAATGAAAATAAATAAATTTTAAAAGGACATGGATTGAGGTTTCTTTCACTACTAGTCAATTTAACAAATTGAGCTATTATATAGATTATTTCATTTGATGGAAAATTCAAAATTATTTTAATAGTTATCATTTGATAACACAGTAAGAAAATTGTGTAAAATTCAGATATCTCCAGGTAAAAATTTAGAGACAGTACCAGCTATTTTTCAGGTATGTTAAATGCTAATGAAGAATACAAATTTTGATGTCAGGAGCTGCAAGAGATAATTAGGAAAAGAGAAGGGTATTTTGATTTGAAAACGTAAAGATTTTAATAAATAACAGTGACATAGTTAGATTTAACTTGGTACCTGTGTTTTTCCTATTTATATTGTACTGGAGACACTAATAAATTTTTGTGACTTTGTCCTTTTACCAGAAAAAATTGATCTTAAAAAATATTTATTGACTGTTTATGAGGTATAGAAATTACATTAATATTTTAGAATAAGGATCAAATGTTTAGTTTGTACATCTCCTTGTGGACTTAAGCAACTATATTTCTCTCAGAACATTTCTCCAGCTGAGAAAATTAGGATACCTGGTCTTGAACATTTTCAAGATATTCTTCTATTAATTATACCCACTTGAAACTATTTGGACCATAGCCATTGTGCTAAGTGCTGTCATCAGTCAACAGTTCCCAATGAGTATTGCTGCTTGAGAGCTTATTAGCTTTGGTTTTTTTTTTCATTATGCTTTATTATGAGTATGCATCTTGTTTTAATGTTTGAGGAACTCTTACCAAGTTAGAGTCCAAGGTCACAAGTGAAGTTACCACATAGACAAGTTAACCTTACTCATTTCCATGCCCGTAACATTAACCCCTAAACTTAGCCAAACATTATATGACAAGTGTATATTGTGGATATCAGGATGAAATCAGAACAAGGTTTTGCATGGGTCTGGCAAATCCAAACTGAAATGCCTGGCCACTGACAGCGTGCCCATCTCTTCTGTATGAAAAACAACCCATTTTAGTAACATTCAGTGAGAAACGTTTGAAAAAAAGTTAAAAAATGGGCAGTGTCAAACATTAATATGTAAAGACAAGAGTTATGTAATTTACCAGAATTCAGACTTAAAATATGCTACAAAGCATTTTTAATAAAAAATAATAATATTTTTACAACAATTTTATGAGGTAAGTTTTCTTATCCCCATTTTACAGATGAGAAAATTGAGGCATAGGGAGGTTAATACAAGGTCATACAGCTTATGAGTGGTAGAGCTAGGACTTAAACCCGGGCAATCTGACTTCAAAGCCCATGCTCTCAGTCCTTACAGTATGATTCTCTATATTTTAAAAATAATTTCTGGAAAAAGAATGGTTATAAATTAAATTATTTTTGATAAATTTTTCAAATATTTTATTTCTGAATGTCTTTCGCTTTTAATTAGTCTACGGCATGGAGAATTTCCCACACCAAAGTTGAGATTTTATAGACCTGTTTCCATGGTCTTAAAACTTAATGTAAAAACTAGTTGCCCACAGCTAACAGCATACTCAATGGAGAAAGACTGACGGTTTTCTCATTAAGATCCGGAATTGGTCAGGGATGCCTGCTGTAGCTCCTGCTAGTCAACATCATCCTGGAAGTCCAAGGCAGAACAATTAGGCTAAAAAAATAACAGAGGTGTCCAGATTGGGAAGGAGAAAGTAAAACTGTCCCTTTTCACAGATAACATGATCCTATACATAGAAAACCCCAAAGAATCTACAAGAAACCTACTGGAGCTAAGAAATGAATTCAGTGAAGTGGCAGGGCACAAGGTCAACAAACAAAAATCAGTCAGCTTTCGACTTCCAGCAAAATGGCGCTGTAGGCAGAACCACCGCGCTGTCCCTCCACAGCAAAGAACCGAGAAACTAAGCCGAACAGAGAAAACAACAATCCTGAAACCCTAAAACATCAAATGAAGAGATAAAGAACTCAGCCAAGCACCAAATGGAGTGAGAAAACTGAAAGAGGACGGACAGCGAGGAGAGATTCGTCCAGAGGTCCCCTATCAGCTAATGCAGCACGGATCTGCCATCTTGGACTCCTATCGGAGAACAGCAAATGGGGTACAACAGATCAGCTTCATGGAGCTTCCAGCGTGAGACAAAACAACCAGTAATTTGCGATATACGCTTTCCCACCCCCCACCCTTCTTCACCCCTACTCGGCCTCCTCTGCTTCCCACAGCCAAAATCTCTTATCTGCGAAGCAACGGCTGCTTGGATTCTACCCACCTGAACAGGCCGGCTCTCTGAGTGCCATTTGTTGGCTGCTGGTGTTGCTTTTTTCTACTTCTTTTGATTTCTTCCCTACCTCTCACCACCTCTCCCTCCTTTTGCTCAAATACCTAGCTCCGTGCCCCATCTTTGCTTCTTCCTGAGGGGCTGTGGAGCTCCCTTTGAGTGTGGAGCTGCTTCCTGGTCTGGGCTGCCGCACTGGTGGGATCCCAGGGCTTTTCTTCATTTCTTTGTTTTGAATTGTTTGTTTGTTTTCTTTTCCTTTTCTTGAGTTGGGAGCCCATTCTGGCCAGGCGGTGCTGCGTGGCTTGAAAACTACCCCTTCGGCTTGCACAGACATGCAGAGGGATCCCTGAGGGCATTTCTTTTTTTGTTTTTAGTTTTTTTTTCCTTTTTTTCTGTTTTTTGGAGGGCTTTTCTTGTTATTTTTTTTTTTAATTTGTTTTGTTTTCTTTTCCCTCTTTTTCACTTTTTGTCTTTCTTCATTACTCAGTTTCTCGTATCTCTATATCTTCCTTCTCTTTCTGTTCCCTGAATACTTGGCATTGTATACCTCTACGCCTTCTAGCCAGGCTGTACTGCAACACCTGAGAACAACTTCCCCAGACCTCATAGCTGCACTGGTGGGATCCCTGGGAAATTTCCTGTTCTTTAAACTTTCCGATTTTTATTTATTCATTCTTTTCTTTTTTTTTTCCTCTTCCCCTTTTTTTTTTTTGAATTCATAGTCTCTCATCTCTCCACTCCAACAGCACGCTCCGCTAGCATTCTTTTTTGTTTGTTTGTATGTTTTTGGCTCCTCTTCCTCACTCCTCTCTCCCATATCCATCTTAGCTCCACACATAACAATCTCCCCGCTACATCCTGCCTACCTGCACCGTGCACTTAACATTACACCACCAAGCAGCACAGGCACGGCCTACTGGAACCTGCCCTGCACTGATTACTGGCCCGCCCT